TAAAAAAATAATTTTTGCCCAAAGTATTTGGGCAATTTCGGCTACTAATAGAAGCAGTTTCGACCAGAAACCTTAGAGATCACACATGGCAATTATACCATGATTCTAAATTGTTATTTTTTAATCCACCACTTTCTAGTTCTCTAACCCTGTATGTATAAAGTTAATATGTATTTAGTGAACTGATATAGAATTTCTTTATTGTATCAAATTGAAACACAACTGACATTGCATACAAGGCAAATCTTATGTAATCTATATCATAATGTTTTTCTTTATCATAATTTCTGTCTAATCTTTCATCAGTCCTATTAATGAAATCTCTTATCTCTTTCAAGTTTGACTGCAAAAGAAGAACCAGTCAATAAAATAACAGACATCACTAAAAAGCTTTTGTTAGTAACAAACAATTAATTACCTTTTCATAAAGATCTCCTAGGTATTTATGCACTTCATTAGATAATCCTTTGGTTGTTGGCCTAGGTGCATCCCTGATTTCAATAACCTCATCCTCTGTAAAGTGATTTTTGATAACATTATCATTGATATCAACAATGAATGAATGTATATTACTAAATGCACAAAGATCATTATTAAAATAAAGTCACTGTTTATTATATAAAACAAGCATGATACTTACTGTTCATAACTTAATGATCTGCCAAGATTATAAATTTCTTCTTCTACATACTTTCCAGAGAACAATTGCCACATATATTCTTTCTTCATTAATAAATATTTTTCTTCAATTTTTTCTCTATCATATTCATTTAACTCTACAACCTTCTATAAAGAAAGCCTTAGTGTTTTTACCAATCATTATATCAGTCAAACTTGAAATTAAATTATTACCTTTTTTCTTTTTGTTTGTTCATGTTTGTTGTCATTATCAACCTCATAATTATTAGATAGCTATTTGATATAATAAATGTGAAAGTAGTGAATATTCTAATGAGATGTTAAAAACAAATCCTCTCTATTTGGAGATGTAATTTACTTACATTTTTTCATAGTGATGATGTTTTTTTCCTAGGATGTTCCGCGTTCCTAAGAAATGAATATGAGGCGTAATGGTTCATTAATTATTTTAAAATAACTAGAGTGCAATGAGTTACAACAACCACCATTGCTTTTTTTAAACACTTACTCTTTTTCTCTCTCTTTAAAAATTTCTATTGTTCTTTTCTTATTGTTTTGTTTGTTGTTGGACATTAATCATCAGAAAGGGTTATGAATCAATCAATCATGCCAGGTTTATCAATTAATAAAGGTGTTATTTTTTATTACCAAAGTGTTATTATTGAAAGATCAATTATTTATTTTTATTGATTAATTTTTTTTCACTAAGGGAGATTTCAAACATATTTATACTTCTTTAAAGTATTACAAATAACATGATTTTGTTCAATGAAATAAAGTAAAATAAAATAGAATGATAAATGATGACTATATAATTGACAATTACTAAAGTTAAATGTCAAAAATGTGTCATTGATGATGTCATGATTAAATGATACCTGATGAAATGTTTTTGTCATAATTAATTAAAAATAAAATTTATCTTTCTTGAAAATATGATTAAACAGAAAAATATGGCAATGTAACTCTGAACACATTTATATTGCACCAATTCCATTCAATTCATTAATGGCATAGAAGACTTTGATGAACCTTTTTTTGGAGTAAACACAGCTTTAATAGGACAGGTTTTTGGATTATTTTTGCAGGAAAATCAATTAATTAGCTGAATAAACCCTGAACTAGAGATAAATCTGTTTTTCTTTTTATTTATCAAACAATTATACTATTGATCCAGAATTAAAAGAGCACAACAATCATGATTATTATATTTGTAGTCTTATTCTAAGCCTAGAAACATCATCATCAGAATCCATCATCTTTAAATATTGTTAGTTCTCAAACTCGTACTAAAAAATAATAATTTATGAAGAGGAATTAAAAAAAAGAGTATTGCTTGAAAGTATTTCTTTAAATAAAACCTCACCAGAAGCTCAAGATGCTCAAATTCTTAATGATGAATCTAACTCATCACAGCAAGGATTATTTGCTCTCACCACTCTTTTCATCACTTTCAATGTCTGGTTACTAGATATTGGAGCAAAAATATCATCAATTTCATTGCATCTAGCCTCCTCATCATGATATGTTTTCAGTATTTGTCAGATTTATGATGTATTTCACAAATCCTGTGGACATCACATATTGAAAATTTATGTGACCATTCCATATCAGGGATGACCATTCTGTCTTCTTGCTTTACACAACAATAGGCATTGGGTTAGCAATAGGTTTTTTCAGATAGCAGCTGAGAGAACCCTTTGTAGCATAATTCTCCATTTGATGGTTACAATGATGTAATCTGATACTCCATGCAGACATTCTATCATGGAAAAACATTGTATAATTTGGTCAGGGATTGCATTAAGTGAGATGTTTCTTTTTTCCATGCAGGTAAGCTGTGCATGTAGATCATTTCATGGTTTTGAAATTTGTCATGTTTGAAGAAATGCCCTAATTCACCATTCCAGTGTCCTTCCACAACTTGTTCCAGCATATTTCGGTAGTGCAGGTAGATGTGTTTACACACTTATTTTTTTAAAAAAAGGAGGATAAATTCGAAGGCAAGGTTGTGGTTTTTGATAGATGTTTGCATTTTTGGTGGCCAGTATCTTCTAATTTTGAAAATTTTTTATTTCTCAAGCATCAATGTGGCTAGTACCAATACAAGAAGAACCTAGCTATCTATTGAGGGTAGTATTTTTTAATATACTCATAGTGCCCCTTTCCATTGGGGAAACATCAAAGCTTTCATATCAGGGTTTCCAAATAAGACCAAAAGTTTGACATTGTTTGATTTAACAAAACTCACAATCAGTATACTGTAGTTTGTGTCAGTTGGCTTTTTATTTGATAATTTAGGTATAATTTTTATTA